ATTTAAATAAACTCATGATTATTAAGCATAGAAAATGAAAACAGACAACTATGTATTGGTAAGAGAATGCCGCCACAGGTAATTTTTGGTACACGAGCACTCCATAAATCATTAAAAAGCAATTGCCGCCAGTTTCGCAAACATAAATCCCTTTGTCGGTTTCAGTGATGAGAAAAAATTAAACTCTTGGATGGCCACCATAAGTAAAAAGCACCAATTTTATAAACTCCGTTTATAAAAGTCATCTTCAGCTACTTTGTTTCTACAGTAATATTATGTATCTGCAGCTAAAAATTTAAAAACTTGAAGCAATTCTGAAAAACAACCTTCTAAGTCAAATAAATATTTACATTCCGTTATTGTCAATATTTTTTATTAAAGTATTAGTTCATTGCACTAAAATGCCTCATTTAGGATGTGAATAACTGTGTTAACTACACAAATTTTAGTCTCATTTTACAACCTCACAAAAAACACCGACAATCTACACAGAAAATACATAATTTTTATAGCAATACATTACTAACTTATTAACACCAGCTGCAAACAATTTTGTAAAAACTGTCATGAAAGCTCAAAAATGGTGAACTTTCAAGCAAGTAGATACTAATTAACATCAATCACCTGCCATTTCGATTTTAATAATCTTGTTTATTTTGCGAGGACGATAATTAGAAATGCGAATATGCCTGTTGGTAGCTTTTTAAACTGCAGCAGTTCCGTGCGAACGCGATCTTTCCATTAATTAACGAGTTGGCAATTAATTCCCGGTTACCTTGGTAATCTCACATAAACAAAGAGATGCACCACATTGTCCAATTCCGGTAATGAGTACAATATTAAAACTAAAACAATTTCACCCGGAACAAGCTAAATAATTTCCATTTTAATAATTACAGTCCGGCGTCCAGCATCAGTAATTTAAGGATTATGACTAATCCTAATGGCAGGGTCACATTAATTATTTGCCGCGTTGGGAAAGGCTATCTGCGGCGGGTTATCTGTTTACGAACAAGTACAGCTTCTTCGGTATGCATTAACACATAACTTGTTCAACCGCTGTTGAGCTCCAGAGACCTGCGACAACTTTTTACACTAAAACGAAATATTAACTGCTCTGTGATTAGATTGGGGGCCCCGAAAGCTAACAAAAAACCTTCGTATTATCACTGTAATAAGAGAATGGAAATAATGGACACAAAAAACAGGAAGCTTCCAGCCAACTTGGACACAGACAATAAGATGCAAGACCGATTGTTGTCCACCAGGTAAAGATTTTAAAAGCAATAAATGCAAATTTCAAACAGGACTGACAAAAACTATGGAATGAGTTACACTAATTGATTTTAACATTTGACATCTTGACAGTTACCAGCGAAATATTTGAATAGCCACATTAAGAAAACCGATAAAACATTCATCGCTCTCGACCAAATAGAACTTCTCCCAACAATTTATTCAATCTTTATTTTAATCAATATTAACATAGGTGTATACTTAATAGAAGCAACAGGATTTTTAAACTCCCCAGAAGTTATATCAATCGCCAAGCTGAATGCGACTGCATAAAAACGACTATTTTACTGTGTTTTCCTCCTACCCGAACCATTGACACGACATGTAAAAAAAGATAGAAAAAATTGTCATTGGCATTTTAAGCTAGTTGTCATACTCTCATAGATAAATATCAGGTTTTATTCAAGAGGTTTTTAAAATGAACTTGTTTGAATTTAAATTCATTAAAAACGGTATAGATATAAACAGATTTTTTTCATGTACAAACATGGTAATGTATTTTACTTTACCTAGATCAAAATACGAGCATTTATTTTAGAGATAAGCTGTCTCCAAACGAATAAACATCGTTTATAAAAATCAAACACACGAAAACTGAAATGGATGTACAAAACTGAACACAATAACGTAATTACAACCCAAATCTACTTGTCTGAAGTTTAGCCAATGTTAAATAGAGTTAAGCCCGTCAAAATGTTAAACGGATTGAATAAGAATTAAATTCTGATTTTGCTCATACACTGTGTTCCCATTAACATTGCATATACTTTTAACCATCGCCGTCTCCATAGAAATAATCCTTTTCTCGCCTGGGCATTTTTTGAGTTCAAGTGATTCCCGTTGGCGCTTTAATCTGGGGAAAATTTTTGACAAATCCAGTTTTTTAGCGTAAAGGGTTCAATCTCATAATATCAATTCTCCCTGGCGTATCTAGTTTTGTTGTATCCTTCCTTCCCAGCATTTATTAATTGCGTTATTTTGCGTTAATAATTAAAAATCATTCAGTTTTTCCTTAGTAACCCCCGTAACTAAGAAAAAATTGGAATCACTGCTCCAATGCATTTTTTACGAAATGCCCAGGCGGGATATTGATACATTTTATTAAGTAGGCGGTGCTTTTAACAACAATCATATTACACATATTTCAAAAAATTTGAATACAATTTTCACTATTAATGATAATGACACCGGAGATTAAAAAAATAAAACTATTTGAAATTTTCCTCATAGAAAATAACATTTACATTAATACATATGTATGTATAATCTGACTTATCATTGATCGAGTCATATTTTGAAATAAGTAAATATTTTTTTATTATGCCTGCATCATAATCCTAAATTAAAACACGCTGCAGCCGGCGTAATTTGGCCTTTATAGCACGCTAAATTTTAAAGTTGTCAGTGGACAAAATAAGGATGAGAAAAAAGAGCTTCTCTCTTTTGTACTCTTTTAGTATTCTTGACAAGGGATAGAACAATAATCAAAAAGTTTATACACGTGTTACATACTATACTTTTTCTATGACCACCACAAAAAAATACTTAAATTAAGAATTAACTTAAATGACAGAAAGCTAACTTCAGCCCGTGATTGATACTACAGTTGCTATTTAGTAACGTAACTAATACGTACATTAGTCACGGCTTGTCAAGATGTATATAAAAGGTCACTTAGCGTCATGGAAACATACATGGTGTTTCACATAATTTTACGAGGCATGCGCCTGTAAAATGCAATCAATAATACATATTCTGATACGAACTCCATTACAAATTTTGAAAAATTAGATAATCTTTTCTAGTTTGTTCACCCTTTAAAAAATTACAACATTTTTAGTTAGTTAGTGATTAAGATAGATAAACTAGAATCATGTTCATGCCGTCTCTTGATAGAACAAATGATAATTGTTTCTGAAAAACTACAGTTTATTAATGAAAGAGTGATTAGTTTGACAACTACTGTCATGAGTTTACAATTAAATGTGTACCTATTTTTTGTATCCAGTGTTTTGGAAATTTTGTATACTTGGGTGCGTACATTAGGCGCGAAAGTTGTGTGAAACACGCTGTATACAATAATCCGCGTTTAAGATGTGGGAGTAGAAAAAAAGTTTTATAGTGGGTTGCCAAATTAAATTAAATTAAATTTTGCAAAACTCAAAAACAAAAAAAAGTATTTTCAAAATTTATTCTTGATAAAACATCACATTTTTATAGTAGTTTTATTATATTCATTAAATTTTGCACTTTGACGCTATTTATTTCTGTTGTAAAAATAATTTTACGTTTTTTGCTGTAGGCTACGTATTAGAAGAAGAGACAAAAAAGCTATATGCTGAATTGTATCTACAGAGTGTTAAAAAAAATGTAAAATGTTTAAGGAGGTAATAGTATGGACCAAAAGAAACAAAAAAGTCTTAATAAACATGTGTCCGCAAAGTTTCATATAGAGAACAAATGTGAAAATTTTTAGTTTTTTTACTAAAAGCTTCTCTTTTTTGTTTCAACAGATTGCAAATAAATGTTTCAAAAAACGAATAATTTTCAATATCTCCAAAACCGTTACATTGCGGACCCATGTAGTTAAGAACTTTTTGTTTGTTTTGGTCCACACTACTACCTCCTGAAATACAGTGCGATCAAAAAGTCTTTCTATCAAGCATACTAGTTGAACACGTATGTCGATTGAAAGTTTGTATGTCAGCTAGATGTCAAAAAATTATTTTATAAAAATTAAAATATTGATCCAAACAAATTGAGTTACTGTATGAAACGTCTTAAAACACCCTAAAATGAGATGTAGTTGGAGTTTTACAAATCGTTCACCACGATTTGTTGTTACAGTTTACAAAAAAAAATATTTTGACATTTCTTATTTACCATTGTGACATTTTATCTTCCGCAGACACACGTTTTCAATTTCTAGGCTTGCTTGATAGAAGATAAACTTTTTGATCGCACTGTATTTTACAATCTTTTGTTAACACCATGTACATTTAACGCTATTTGCGACTTTTATTGCCAAAGTTTTTGTACCTTATTTGCTAAATAATTATGAAAAAACATATACAAGATTATCGGTAATAATAGGCATTAAAAAAGATCAAATGTTAAATTTCTTTGACAGACAGAATTTTTCCATGTTCTTTTCTATCATCTTAGTTGCTATCTGGAACGCGATTTATGAATCACCCTGTATATTTATTATTTATCTTTAAACAATATCTTGTAAGTTATAAATTAATCAACTTTTATCAAAAATTTCCCATAATATGTAATTTGTATTTATTTCCTTTTTTCAGTAAATCAAAATGTAGTTTGTATAAGTATGATTATTGATTAGTAACCGTTATCTAATGTTACTCATAATATTATAATGTTTATTACTGGCATATTTTTAAAAACCTAATACACATTTCAAACATGCACTTGGTTTTCCATCAAGAGTGTAAATAGTAATATGCTATTTAGCTTTGGTTAAAAATTTGTCAACAGTTTCGCACTGCAAAATGACAAAAAAAGGATAGATTTTCCACAATTCACACCCAGGTGGTTTCCCAACAATTCTTAGTTGGCTAATTGCGCAGAGGGCGTACCGTAAATGGTTAACAAATTGCTTTGCACCCATTAAATTGGCTTTATCTGGTGTAAATAATGTTCATGAAAAGCAATTAAGCTAGTCACGTGTCCAACAAACTCACCGGAGTCGAATAGGGCTGACAGCTGAGTCGGATTCCATCGTGGGCCAGCTTTTCTTTTAGTAGCTTCTTCAGCTGCATCCTCGGAATCTTCACCAGCTCGGCTTTGCCCTCCTCATACTCGTCCAAGTACTTGGCGACCTCCTGTCCACTGTCGGAGGCGACCGGCGTGTTACGGCCCCCAGCAGCGGCGACGTCCTTCTCGGAGCGGCCCGACGACGTCCGCGAAGACCTTGCACTCACATTGTCACACAAACACTCCTCGTGTACGGCGGCACTCTCCTCCAGGGTGAAGTAGACGGAGGCGGCGCCTTCCTCACGCAAAGTCCGCACCGATTGCAGCAGTCGGCTCCGGTGCACCGGATTGAAGACCCCAATGGCGTCGAGGTCGGGGTCGCCCACCTGCTTGCAGATCTCCAAGTCGTCGTAGCCATTGTCAATGAAACTCTCGGAGTATTGGCCTAGGTGCAGGGATCGCAGCCATTCGGCCACGATGTTGCCGGCCATCGCGACACACGCACCTCACTCGCGACCAAAACACGATCTGAGGAGTGAAGACCACTCCACACCGGCTGGAGGAGGCAGCGCGCATGACAAACACGGAACCACACGAAGAACTCCATCTTCAACGCACACCGACCTTAGGCGAATTCCTAATTCCGGAAAAATACTATTAATTACAAATTGCAACACACTTTGGATAAGCTCAATGATTTATGCGGGGATCTACAGGACGTAAATAATAGCACGAACGCAAGAATTTCGTAATTATTATTATTTAATAACACACTGTATACCTACACTCAAAGAAAAAAAGTGTAGATAATACTCGAAAAAGAGTTTCTATTACTACTTGTAGTAGTGAAATAGGCCTCAACTATTTTGTGCCGTAGATTTTACCACTACAAAATAGATTTTGTAAATTGGTGATTATTACATCTACAAGTTGTTATTTTTACGTTATGTTCTTTTAGTAAATTTTACCACTACACATATAGCAAAATTTAACGTTATATGATGTGTAAAATCAACCCACATTTTTAGTATTTCAGACCCTTATGTAACGCTAATTCCAACTATCAGAGAGCGTCAGTTTAACAACTTAAGGAAGAATAAATTACATTTTATAAAGTAGAATGTAGTATTCTTTTTATGTAGATATCACTATAGTGTAGTGTAGATGATAATAATACACAGTGATTATATTAGTATTTTATTTAAAAAAAAAAAACAGATACATAAAAGTACAATTTACAAAAAATAAATATGTGAACTAAGTATAAATTAAAATATGTACAACATTTTACACTTACAATTACCTAATTACTAATGAACAAAAAACTATGTACATTATACTACTATATGATAATTAATAAGTTTATTTAAAAATG